AGGTTACTGAGATATTACAAGTTTACTGTTAGTCCTATAATAGTCAAGTTATCTTGCTTTTGTTGGCATATTTCCTTTCTTTTTTTTGGAGGGGAGAGGCATTTGAGGTTAAGTGACTTGCCCAGGGTCACACAGCTAGTAAGTGTCTGAGGCTAGATTTGAACTGAGGTCCTCCTGACTCCCAGACGAGCACTCCATTCACTACTCTATCCATCTAGCTGCCCTACTCATATGAAATAGTGGAGGTGAAGTACCAAGAAATTTAACTTGGATTAAGAAGAACTGACTTTAAATCATAGCACTAATACTTAGTACTCTGCCTAAGTGACCTTGGCCAAGTCACTTAACCTCTATGAGACCATTTCTTTATTGGCAAATGATCATACTACCCATCCCTCAGGATTTTTTTTCTTTTTCTTTTCAAAAAAATTTAAAAATTCATTTTGAACTTAAACACATAAAAAGAGAACATTTCCATATACACAGCACAACCTAAAAAGAGGATTCACTACCAAACCATCAATTTACATTTCACAATGTTTACTTTTTTTGAAAAACTATATAACTAAAAACTATATAATAATAATAGCTATATAATCTGTAAACCATATAAGTACTACTCATCATTTTCAAAGTCACTCTGCTTTCTGTGCTTCCTTCTACATTTTCTTTTATTCTCTACTGTGAACTTTTTATATTGCACTCCTCCTCACCTCCCCAACCAGGGTTTTAATGAAGGAAGTGCTTTACAAACCGTAAAATTGAATTGCATATAGCTTTTAAGGATTGCCATTCTTTTGTTTTTGTTTTGTTTTTTGAAGGATTGTCATTCTTAAGTAATTAAAACACTTTCTTCTTATTGTAACACCTAAAAAACCAAGTCACACAAAGCAAAGGTATGTGTGTTTTATCTGAGAACTGAAGAGTTTAGGTCATATTATTCCTTACTCATGGCATCTTTAATTGATTTGTAGAAATGCCTCACTCTATTTTCACTTCTGTTGTAGGAGACTGGGTTAAATGATAGGAAGAAGTGAGACGGGATAAGGATAGAAAAATATGCACAGAGCCTTCCAATGAACTGATAATATAACCTTAAAGTAAATTTAACAATGATCCAAATTATTCATTGTCACCTGCACAGATCAAAATTATGTGCAAACTTTATAGACAAGAAACATCATAAAAAGGCAAATACATGCGTGTGGATAAGTACTTCTATAGAACCTGTTGTTACTGAGTCTTTTTCATTTGTATCTGACTCTTCATGATTCCATTTGGGGTTTTCTTGGCAAAGATATGGGAGTGGTTTGCCATTTCCTTCTCTAACTCATTTTTTACAGACAAAGAAACTGAGGTAAACAGGATTAAGTGATTTTCCTAGTCATACAGCTTGTAAATGTCTGAAGCCTGATTTGAACTCAGGAAGATGTCTTCCCAACTCCTGGCCTGGCACTCTATCCACTGTGTCACCTATCTGCCCTTTATAGAGCCTACTATGAGCAAAGCACTTGACAAATATTATCAAATTTGATTCTTACAACAACCCTTAGGGGTAGGTGCTATTATCCCCATTTTACAGTTGAGGAAACTGAGGCAAACAGAGGTTAAGTGACCTGCCCAGGGTTACATGGCTTCTAAGTCTCAGGCTGGAATTGAACTCAGGTCTATCTGACTTCAGGCCCAGTACTCTATTCAATATGCCAACTGCCCTATTGTGACGTTCAGGTTGAAGGAGATGTTAGGAAAACCCTGAGAACTGATTGGACTAAGATTTTGAATTTGTTTTTGAAAAGGACACCAGTGGAGCTCATCTTAATGCCGTTTTCTTGTAAAAAAACAAACTATCATTGTAATATCTGAAAGAGGTTAAAGGTGGAACATATACTTTGTTAATCCATAAACTCACAAATTATTGGAATGCTCGTGTTCAGAGTACAATTGATACCATTTACAATGTTAAGAAAATGATGGGGGGGACATGATTGGCTGTGGTCCTTTGCTCTCAGAGGACCAAAATGACATCACCATGTTAGAGTCAAGTTACAGTGTGTCTGACTATGGCCAGTCAGACCAATATGAGCTTGGAATGTTCTACCCAACGTTGGGCACAAATAGTCCATGGGAACACTTGGGGTGGATTCTCTAAATTTGCACATCCTTCATTTTTTTGGAGCTACTTCAGTTCTTCTTTGCTGCGCCTTCTCTGATGGGAGCACACCATATTGGCTGGTCCTGTGCCAAATGTCTCCCATGTCACACAATCAATTCCAAAGTTCTTGAGAGTGTCTTTGTACTGATTCTTCCGATCATGGCAGTGGGGGGGGGCTTACTTGGCAACTATGTACCTCAAAACAAGGTCACCATATAATATTCAGAAGTCATTTGTCTATTATTGTCATTCTTTACTTACAGGGTAAGACACAATCCCTAGAAAGACAAACAGCTAGAAAATTAAAAATATAGGATGCTTTATTGTCAAAAATAGACAAACTTCAATTTCCTTTAACAGGAATATTAATTTAGAACCTCCATGAACTGTTGCCATCTTGTTACCCAGAAAGACAGAAGTGAAACCAGCAGCTGTTAATGGAATACAAACTCCCCATCCATTCCGAGGAAGTCCTGACAAAAGGAACTCTTGACCCATCATACACAGGGAGGTCTAGAACTCGTTAAGCCACAAGCAATAACAGATCTCTAGCACAAGTTCTATTGCAATGGTCTAATTCCCAGACACTACAGATTGGATTTGGTGAATCTTGCCTAACCCCAAAGGAACTAGTTACAATTTATGGCAGCTGTGAGATGAGATAATGGCTCAAAGCCATTTTTTGAGTAACACTAGAACCCCTGCCTCAGGTGTGATTGATGTCAGTTATTTCAGTTATGTCCAACTCTTCGTGACCCCATTTGGTGTTTTCTTGGCAAAGATCCTGGAGTGGTTTGCCATTTCCTTCTCCAGCTCATTTTACATATGAGGAAACTTGGGCAAACAAGGTTAGATGACTTGCCCAGCGTCCCACAGCTAGTAAATGTCTGAGGCCAAATTTGAACTCAGATCTTCCTGATTCCAGGTCTAGGGCTCCATCCACTGCTCCACCTAGCTGTCCTAAATCTGTTGTGCAAAAGTGGATGAATGAGCTCTTGTTATCTCAACTTGCAAAATCACCTGAAGGCTTTGAACACTGAATACAACTGAAAATTGTTGTACTAAGACTGAAGTTCTCGACCAACAGTGGGGGAAAACTGGTTAATGATCCTTCATTCTCAAAGAAGATCAATGATTAGGTTACTAATGAATGATGGAGGACAGAGTTGGCCTAGAGTTCAGGCCATGGGACAATTAAAAACAAAAAGATTGAGGTATTTTCCTGAGTTATCCAAACTCTTGCTAACATTCATGATGCTAAAATAAACCAAATCTCCATAACCAATGGTGACTTCATGTGCATATGCTGAGCCCAATAATTCAAATAGTAGCCGATCAGCAGTTGTTGTCCAGTTATTCCTTGAGAGGCTCGTGGGAGCAAGGAGGGAAGTGCTCAGAAACAATTCTTCCAGTTTTCATGTAGAGAGATAGGGAAGGTCAGAGCAAGGTGAGAAGATGATCTGGGATTAAGCCCAAGAAATATTGAAATGAAACTAAATAGCAAATCCCATCAAATAATTCTTTGAGCCAAGGAGAAGGATGGAGGATGAAATCTAATGGTGTGGAAAAGGCTTGGTAAGTTAGATGTCCACTGAGAGATATTGGATCAGACAATGCCTTCCTGAAACTGGATTTCTGAAATCCAATCCAGGACCATTATAGCCACAGACACCCAGTTTGGTATTATGGTTTGGTTGTCTGGGCTCTAACAAGAGCTGAACATAGGATCACAAATCTTACAGTAAATGGGACCATGGAGGGTATCTAGTCCAACCCCTTCATTGCTTTAGGGGAGCGAGCATGGTGTAGCAGATAAAGCACTGGATTCGGACTCAGAAGAGACCTGAGTTCAAATCCTGCCTCAGACACTTATTAGCTATGTGCCCCTAGGCAAGCCTCTTAACCTCTCTACCTCTCAATTTCCTCATCTTTAAAATGATGGTGTTAGACTTGATGGACTCTAAGGTCTCTTCCCACTTTAAAGCTATGACTCTTCATTTTATAGATGAGGAAACTGAGGCCTCCGAGCTTAAAGTCATTTGCCCAAGGTTGAGTAGTTATAAGGATTATTTATAGGCAGGATTGGAACCCAGGGTCAGTGTTTTTTCTACCATTATCATGCTGCTGCTCCATTTTATCTATCACCTCTCCGCAATTCAAAAGATAATATGCAATATAGAACCTTTAAAAATGGAGCATGTGCCTTACAAATGAAGCTGAGTAAAACTGTGATAAATTTGTTGAAATTATAATGCAAGATCATTCCCCCCTCCAAGCCTTCAAAGGTGAAGGGGAAATGGGAAGAGTAAAGGCAGAGCCACGCTGTCTCTGTAACATTCCTAATCAGCTCTTTCCAAGAGTCAGTGTTAAGCTAAGCTCCGAGACCTAAATTCTACCTGATGGGATAAGAACCCTTCAACCCAAGGTAGGAACATTGGTTTTCTGAGCTTTCAGAAGTTTTCATACTGGCTGAGCTTCGTTTAATAAGGTTATAAAGTTGTAAGGATTATTGTGGAGAATTTTTAAAGTGCCATTATGAAGAGTAAACTAAGTAAAATGTCATTCATACTGTCAACAAGTTAAGCTCCAGGACTGACTGGTTGGATGTAACTAATTCATTATTTACTGAGTAGCCTGCCTGCTTCTGAAAGGATGGGCCAGAGTGAATATGGCTTCACAAATGAAAGGCTCACTGAGTCGCCTCCCGCTCCATCCCATTGTTTGGTGGCTGTGGTCTTAATCAGTGGAGAGCGTCTACTCCCTTGGGGATGTTTTGGGCAGGCCACAAGATTAATGCTTTGGAGCAAAACACTTGAGGCTGTGCTGAATAAGGAACACACATGTCAGATGGGCTAAATTTGGGGTTTCTTGATGAGGCCAGTCAAGCTACAAGGGACATCAAACCAAACAGTGGCACAATCTATTATAAGTCAGCAAGCGAAATTTTTCTAGCACTCTTCAATGACTGTTCCAATCAGTGAGTAAAGTTTCCTTTTAACAAGCCTAAATCCTGGGCTGAGAATCAGAGTTCTCCTAAAACCAGATGTGAAACGAGCTTTACTGAAGAAAAAGTCCCTGAAACTAGACCACGAACAGTTGTCCTGCTTAAACACTAGTGTAAGCTCAAAGGTAGGTACCACACTAGCATCACACACAATCTTATCAAGCTTCTTACATACATTTTCAATTTCCAAGTTTACATGGATAATGCAACCTCGAAGACCACAGGGCTCAGAAGAAGACAGGCGCAATACATCTTGAGCTATTCTCTTGGTCAGTTTCTCAGGGACGAGAACCTTGGAGCAGCCAAGTTTGGTCTGCTTGGATTTGGACAGGGAATTCTCCAGCATTTTAGCCAGGCTCTGGCAAGTCGTCTCTTCAAATACCACCTCATTGAGGTTGGGTTCCGGCACAACATAATCCCAGTAGTCAAAATCTATAGGAAAGACAAGTTACAGATGAGAGGGGGAAAAAAAGGAAAAACCCAAGCATAGGAAAAAACCACCACCAACAAACCATGGTACAGAGAAATATCAATTATTTAAAAAAAAACCATAACATTTATTTCTGAAAGTCAGGAGACTTGTTCCAGTTCTACCACTAACTGAATATGTTACTTTGAAAGTGAAACTCAGTTTTCTCATTTTGCAGATGCCAGACTTACTGGCAAGTCACTTGAACCACTCAGTGCCCTGGGCAAGTATCTGTAAATTATATCAGTAAAGAGTTCCCTACATCAATGAAATCACAAGTCTGAACTGGAAAAAAAAATAAGAGGAAACTACACTAAGTGAAATTTCTAAGATCTCTTCTAGTTTGCAAGTATGATTCTATTGGTTTATAAATTCAGAATTTTAGCTATAGTGCTTAAGTGTATTGTTAGCTTATTTATTTCAGTGCTTCTAGAATTTGTGATGTTTCATGCATCTTGGTCCACTATCCACTAAGGCACATCACAATCTCCTCGAAGACATTAATTAAATTTTCCATTAGCTACTGTGGATTAAAAAAAATCATTTGATAAAACTGTCTTCTGGTTGAGAGGCTCTCCAAGCTGTGAATGACAGATATTGGCCATTGCTTGGTAAGACCTGCTAGAGATTATGCTCAGCTTGCATGGGCTTTGAGAATTCAAGGTCACAACTACCCGAGCCAAGAAGTGTCAGTAGGACTTCAATGGAAAATTAATTTTAAGCTATTATATTATTATGGCTCTTGAGTTAGAGCTAGAGTCAGGAAGACCTGGGTTTAAATCCTACTTCTGAAAATGATTGAGGCTGGGCAAACCACGGGCAACTCTAACCTATGAGTATGTTGCAATCTGCCTCCCATAGATTGGGAGAGTTGCTTGAACACACACACACACACACACACACACACACACACACATACAGAAAGAAAAAAAATTAAAAAAGCAAATCCCTGTGCTAAGTTTTATTAATCATATTAAATGTGGAATAAAAAAACCCCTATCAGGCAATGTATCAAATATATCTAGCTCTAAGAAAGTCTTCATTTTAGTGGCCGATAGATTAGCTGAATTTATACCATCCCCTGTTAAAAAAACCCTGCTTTGTGAGAGGTTTTTCATAATTATCTGGCAAGTTTCCCCTAGCCAGACAAAACAAGCCAGTCCAGGAAAACAAAATTAAGTTTGCAGAAAACTGATACTTTGCATTGGTCATCTGCTTCCTAAAGTAATCCTACTAGTTGGCACCTCTCCACCCACACCACAGGCTGATTGCACACTTGAGGACTGCCCTGTCAATCTCTATTGCCATACAGTTTATTTCTCCTCTATACACTAATGAATTTTTCCATAACTAATATCATGGGATTATTTAGTCTCTCTTCATTTCTCTTAAAGAAAACAACACAAAGAAAACGTATGTTAGTTTTCCTTTGGACTCAGTTCATGAATTGCTGCTACAAATTCAGAATTAATACCAAATAAATCTGTTACCACTTATCTGGACCTGTAAAAAAAATACCCACTGTAATTTCAGGCCTACACGGCTCTTACAGAGCCTTTCAAGTCACCCAGGCCAGTAGCAGCCTCAGTAAGTATTCCCGTCAAATAGACCTTGGGATATTTTATTTTTTGGTTCAATCCGGCAGGGCTAGGATGGATGGGATCGCCTCCCCATTCAAAGGAGAGATACTTGAGATGATGACGTCACCGAGAACGTAAACTTGCATCCTGATTGGCCCATCCCGCTCTGTCCTCCCCGAGAGATTAACTGAGGAGCCGCTGAAAAGCTCACCACTTAGACTTCCAGGCGGAAAGCCACGGTCTATCAACTCTGAAACGCTGGACGAATTTTTACTGCTTAAGCTGCTGGTCGCAACCATGGTGAACCGCACTGTGGCTCCTGCAGTGCGGGGGGGAGCAGCCTTCGGGGCCCACTGAAGAGACAAAAAAAAAAAAAAAGACAAGTGAACTAAGCGGGGTGGGGGGCAAAGAGCCACTCACAAACGACAGTACTTACTTCCCAAAGGAGAGAGGCCCTCACCTCCCTTCTCCCCCGTTCCCCAGTCCGGCTCCCAAGTAAGTCTAATGGCCTAGAAGCAGAGAAGCCAACTGCAGGAAACCCTATCAATGAAATTCGAAGCAAAGCTTGTCTGTTACTCTGCCGAGAGCAGGGGCTGCACGTCGAAACCTCACCGGCCCATAGATTTAAAGCTTGAAGGTCACCTAGTCCAACTCTCCTCATTTTAAAGACGAGGGCACCGAGAGCCAGGGCAGTTGGAGGGACTTGCCCAAGGTGACCCAGGTAGGCAGGCACTCGAATCCAGGTCCTCTCCCAACTGTACTGCTGTGAGCACTAACTCCCCCCGTGGGTCCTTTGGAGACACTGGGTCTATTCTAAAGATTACCTCTCTAGAGCAGAAAGAGACCTTTGAGGCCATCTGGTCTACTCCTCCCTCCAGTTTTACAGAAGGGGAAACTGATGCCCAGAGAAATTGAACAATATAGCCAAGGTCACACAGGTGATAAATTACAGTCAGGATTCGCCCATGTCCTCCTGGCTCCAGACTCAGCACTCTGCACAGCGCCACGCTGCAACAGCGTTGCCCAAGTCTCTGTGGGCCATAGGGTCTCCTCTTACCTGCCTTGACTTTACAGAAGTGCACGCTGGCGTACACGAGATGCCCGGAGCTCAGCAGGGATACGGCAATTTAAATATACAGAAAAGAAAAGAAAAGAAAAGCCCTCCTCAAGCGAACCCCTTTTAAAGCACTCTTTCTCTGGGCGGGGGGCAATAGGGTACTGCCCTGCAGGCACCCAGCAGTAGTCACCAGCGCCCCCCGCCCTCAACGCACCCCTGCACCGACCCACAGGGTCCCGGGACTTCTTGTATATACTGCTCGCCACCGCCCCCCAACCCCGGCCCCGCCCACCTGCCTCGGGCCCCTGCCCCGCCCTTCTCTCCGCCCCCTCTCTCCTGGGTGTCCAAACTCAAAAGGACGCGGCTCTGGGGAGGCGGATGGGGAATCCGATCCGGTCTGAGATGCACCTGCAGTTTACTGGGTGGGCTTGAGTGCGTGCTGCCTAAAGTCCCCAGGAAAGGCTGGACAGATCCTCTTGCCCCATGTTTTTTCTCTAGGTCCTCGCGTCTTGCTATACCCTCCCCCAGTCTTTCCTCCCCTCCCCCAGTCTTTCCTCCCCACCCCCCAAGTCTTTTCTCCCCCCTCCCTCCACCCCACCGTGGGACAGCGGGAATGGCCTGTGGTTTTTGCCCGCCTGACCCGAGGGTTAAGAGGGACCGGCCACTTTTTCTTTTGACATTTCTCTTCCAACTGTTTCAAAGATTTCCTGCGGGCAGTTTATGCAACCGATTTTGCGGGCCCCGAAGTAGCCAGCTTAACCCTCCTCCGCCAGATACAGTTTCTTGCCAGATTCTGCACCCCCGCTTGCCCCAAATCATTTCCTGCCTGCCGTTTCCCCCGGGGTTTTGTAGTGGCGCTGCTCTGGGGCGGGGGGAGGACGAAGCCCAGGCAATACAGCAGCAAATTTTAGAATACACAAATCTAAATTTCTCTCTCTCTCTCTCTCTCTCTCTCTCTCTCTCTCTCTCTCTCTCTCTCTCTCTCTCTCTCTCAAGCCTGGTCAACCGGGGCAAGTCGGGGAACTGGAGCATATTAAATGAGCGAAGTATTTCCAAGAAGCTTAACAAACCCATTAGCGAGATTTTAGCAGTCTGTCGGACTCCCGACTGGCTCAAGAGCTAGCCAGGTGAAATGGGTCATCCCTAGAGAAGAGTTCCATCCCAGCCTGCAGGGCCCCTGGAAGGTTACTTGCAGTCGCTCTGGGCTGCGGGATTGCAAAATGGGTCTCAGAAAACTTGACTTCCCTGTGGCTAGTAATGTGAATAGGTCACAGATGTGGATCTCGGATGTCATCTAACCTAACCTCCATCTTGCAGAGGAGGAAACTGAGGCCCAGAGGGGAACTTGCCAAAGTCACACATGTAGTAAGCAGCAGTTTAATGAGGGCAGACGGATAGCCATACACATTGGCAGGGACAAGCATTCAAGCAAAAATTCAATCGTTTTTGAGATTTGCTTAAAGCCTCTGTTCTCTCCTTGGTAGTTTCAGTGGGTGGGGTCCAGTGCAGAGCAAGCAAGCAAGCGCGGAGCACGTAGGGAGCTGAAAAGATGAAAATTTAGGTACTAGAGGGATTATGTGGTGGAGGGAGGATATATGATCATCCCTGGCTACTCTTTGGTAAAGAGAGGCAGATTTGTGGCATGAAAGAAAAATCTAGCCTCAGAGGAGCTTCTCATATCCTGGCCTAAAAAACGTTCAGCTGGAAAACAACATTAGGAGGTACTAAGGGGAGTGATAGATCAGTGGGAGGACATTTGGAGGCAGGCTTGGCAGCATCTGAAGCTGGCTTGACAGTCCATTTTTAACTCATCTCGCTAAGCAGCAAAGCTTGAAGGTCAATCTACCCAAAGAAGGGGAGATTCGTCACCTGACCTTTGCCAAGCAAAATATTTTGTTGGGTTCTCCCCCACCTTTTTACTTCATTTTCAGAAGAGTGGTAAACAAATGATTTCGTAAAAATCCATATTTAAGAGCAGCTTCTCTGGTGAGGCTGGAACCCAAAAGAAAGGGATAAGGAGATAAAAACAGCCACTTACCCAAGGAAGTATATGTGGGTGGACCTTGAAGCAGTAGTGGTCAGGGCGTAATTACACTGGTCACAGCAGTGGATGAGAGGGATCTATCGCGAATCTATTCTGTGCCAAAAAAGGGGGGGTGATGAGTTAAGGCAAACATCGATAGGAAAAATGGAAAAGTATAGTTAGGAAATTTGAGTGCTATTTAAAAAGACATTACTGGGAGTGCAGGGTAAATGTGTGCAAAGGATCTCCATCATTCTCCCTCTTGCACAGATTCCAAACTATTTCTTCCTTTCATCCCCTTTATCCAGCCAATTACCAAATCCTGTGAATTCCTCCTTCAAAGGTCTCTAGTATCCAGATCTTTTCCATACCCACTGCCCCAACCCTAGGCCAGATCATCTAGCCACTGGGCCTATCACTTACCCCGAGATGGGATCTCTTGATAGTGAAAACCTGGAGAAAATGGACAGGGTTTTGTGTTGGACCTGAGGTGTTAATAATTGTTTGAAACGGATGTGTGACCTATTTCTAAAGTCTTTTCTGTCTCTAAGATTCTGAAATCCGAGGCCTTGACATCTCTAGCACATTGGATAGACACTCTGTGGTACCTTTTTTTTTTTTTTGAGGAATTGGGTAAGAATTGTGATCTGCAACCTAGATCAGATGCAATCTGTGTCTGTGGAAGGAGTACCTGAATCCACAGGATGACAGATGTGTCTGAATATTTGAGAGATGTCTCCATCAACAATCAACAAAATTCCATGGTATTGGCTCAATGAAAGGAAGAGCTTCATAATGACTAGAATTATCCAAAAGTGGAATGGGCTGCCTCTGGAAATAGTAAGTTCCTCCTCAGTAGAGGCCTTCGAGCATTTTTGTTGTTATTGTTGTTCCCTTGTGTCTGACACTTCATGACCACTTATGGGGTTTTCTTGGCCAAAGTACTAGAGTGGTTTGCCATTTCCTTCTCCAGCTGATTTTACAGATGATGAAACTGAGGCAAACAGGGTTAAGTGACTTGCCCAGGGTCATACAACTAGTAAGTATCTGAGGCCAGATTTGGACTCAGGAGGAGTAGCCTTCCTGCCTCCAGACACAGCACTTAATCCACTTCACCACTTAGCTCCATCAAGTAGTAGTGTGCTAATAAATATTTAACAACTGGCTTTCTGGAGAGAAACAAAAGTATGCAGGAGATACTTTTAAGTTCAATTTGCATTATTAACATTTTCTTCAGCACTTTCATAAGTCTAGATGATTCATAAAACAATAAATTAAACCTGATTGATTGCATTTTGCAAATTTTCTTTTTTCTTCTAACTTAACATTCTTTAAAAAAAATTTAGTTCTAAATTCTCTCTCTCCATTCAGTTCCTCCCCCACTCACTAAGAAGCCAAGCAATATGGTATCAATCACACATGTGAAATCATACAAAACATATTTCCATATTAGCCTTGCCACAAAAAAAGCAAGAAAAACAAAGTGAGAAAAGTATGCTTCAATTTGTACTCACAGAGTTCATTAGTTCTCTCTCTGGAGGTGGACAGCATTTTTCATCATGAGTCCTTTGGAACTGTCTTGGATCATTATATTGATCAGAGTAGCTAATTCTTTCGCAGTTGATCATCGTTACAATGTTGCTGTTACTGTGTACAGTGATCTGGTTCTGCTCATTTCACTTTGCCTCAGTTCATATAACTCTTCTCAGGTTTTTCTGAAACCATCCTCCTCATCCTTTCATGCAACAGTATTCCATCGAAATCCTATACCACAGCTTGTTCAGCCATGCCCCAAATTGATGGGCAACCCCTCAATTTCGGATTCTTTGCCACCACAAAAAGAGCTGCCATAAATACTTTTGTATTTTATTTTATTTTTCCTTTTCTTTCCTTTGATCTCTTTGAGATATGGACCTAGTAGTGGTGTTGCTGGGTCAAAGGGTACGTATGCACAATTTTATAGTCCTTTGGAAATATTTCCAAGTTCCTCTACAGAATGATTGGCTGAGTTCACAATTCCACCAACAGTTCATTAATGTACCTGTTTTCCCATATCCCCTCCAGCATTTGTAATTTCTGATAGGTGTGAGGTATTGTTTTAATTTGCCTTTTCTAATTAATAGTGATTTAGAACATTTTTTATATGAGAATAGATAGCTTTGATTTCTTCTTCTGAAAACTGCCTATTCATATCCTTTGATTATTTGTCATTTGA